CACACGTCCAGAATTTGGTCCAGTGATGGCTATTGTTCCAAGGTAAGTCATTTCCGATGTGAGTCGTTATTTTTTTAAAAAAAATATGATACCTCATTATTTCTCTTCTTAATTCAGTGTTGGAATTGGACATTGTCCAATTATCAGAAATGGACTATTGGACTTTGGACTTAATGAAGATGTCCAGCCCAATTCCAATTCCAAATGGACTAGTATTTTTGCTCGGCTTTTAGATATTGAAACTGATAGTATAATATTAAATTTTATACATAGCTGATAAGATTTTTTAAGTTTATTCGGTAGTTTTATTTATTTCACATATTTATTTTTAATATATTAATTTTTACGACCTGCTCTTTGTTGAATTCTAATAATACTAACAAAATCGTTAAATATACAAAAGTTTCAAAAGAAATAGGCGATTACATTACAATTAAAGATTCACCACACAAATCATACGCACTGTAAACCGTAAACTAATAATGCAAGACAAGAAATGATTGCTTCGCAATTCCCATTTCATCTAATTTTTACCAAAATTTTACGTTTAAAAATCAGTATTATTTGTAAATTCAGAATAGTTCTTATATGCTCAGAGACGCATATTATACATAAAGTACTTGTGCGCAATTTTATACATATAAGTTTAATATAATAATAATAAAAGTTAGCAACGCTGCAGAAAAACGTGATTTCTGTCATCCGATCATTTTTAATAATTACCTTACTAACACCTAATCCACATCTTTTCATTCAATTAAGCGTAATCATAATTATCCTTTTTTAATAGTTCCAAACAAAAATAAGCATGTTAGTAATGATGAAAAGCCTGTCCCAAAATACAAAAATGATGTAACATTCCAAGTGGTCCGGCAAGACATTATGCCATTAACTATTAATTAACGGACCCTCCACAGGTTGAGCGTACATAATAAACGTTCACAGACCGTCAGTTGAAGATAATACTGACGGAAGAAATTCTTTTTCTGTGTTTGATAAAAAAACAAATAAAATAATACTATTTTGATTTTTTTTTTAATTTATTATAATTCATTTTATATTTATACATTAATAATATATATATATATATATTTTTTAAAAAAAGTATAATTAATAAGTTTCATAATTATTTTAAATTGTTATATTGTCCATAAATAACATCCAAAAAAAAAAAAGGTATATGTAAATTAGACATATAATTGAACTTTGATCGGACATTTACATAAAAATGTTGGCTGTTATTTGTCAAGTGATAGTCATTGGAAGTTTAGAGACAACAATGAAGATATCATAAAGATTGATGAACCTTCTTTTGATGAATTATTAATAAAACTAATGGAATCTACATCAAAAATTCTTGGAGCAGAGGAATGGACATAGGGAATATTGAATGGCTAAAAAAAAAGTTGATAAAATATACAAGATTTCGTACACGAAATAATAATAATAATATGCACAGTATATTTCGATATAAAATATAACATACAATCGGTGATACTGGAGATTATTAACTTATGTATATAAAAGCGCATATGATTTTATAAATTGTACACAAGTACTTTATGTATAATATACGTTTCTGCGCATATAAGAAAATAAAGTTACACAAAAATGAGCCAATCCAGATTCCAAGTTATTGGATACAAAAAAAAAATTAGCTTTTAATCTACCCTGGTAAGATTCAAAGATAAAAATCCCCCTCTTTATTGTCACGATATAAATTTTTTTTAGATCACATTTATTAAATGATACTATATTATTTTATTAAAGTATAGTGCGTTTTTTTTTAATCGAATCAGGTTTTTTTTAATGATAAATATTTTGAAAAATAAGATGACATGAGTTTCTTGTTTAACATTTTTAATCATATGCGAGCAATATTTTATCAAAAATTAATTAAAATTTGTAATTTGTACGTGTTTTTTTTTATTTTTATCCTAAATAAATCAAATATTGTATGTATGGGACCTTAATATTTATGGGAAGGGGAACTGACGGAAAAACCAAATAAGTTAATAATGATAAGAATCTTTCCCCCTTCATATGATTAACTTCCTTTCGATAAATAAAACCACAATTAAATCAAGATTCAAAATATTTATTATTATTCTTAGATGTAATTAAACCAATTTTGTATTTGAAATGAACCACTTATATATCAATCCAAACGAAACAAACCGGGATGGCCCGATATGTAAAAGATTATTCGTGTTTAACAAATAATTCTAATTTTAGCTTCTTATTTTAAATATATTCTGATATAATAATAAGAATTTATTGAACTTACTTAATTAATCAAATATTATTATAATAATGTTTTACCGAACGCCCGAACGCGAAGTCTGATGATTACATTTACATACTTTTCAAAACTAAATTAATATTACTCATTTATTTATTTTCATTTATCCATATTTATTTATTTAATGTAAACGATTAAAGTTTCAGTAAAATAAATTATTTATATGTATATATATATTGTTTTTATATTAAGAACTGTACGCGTAGCACATTTATCGCGTTTTAGTAGTGATTGATTCCGAATTGGTAATTTGGTATAGGTAGATCATTTCCACTATCAATTTTATCACATTTATCACAACAATTTCTATTCAGAAAACATTATTTAAATTTTTTTTTTTTTTTAAAAAAAATGATATAATCAATAATAATTATTCAATCCAAATTTACTACCAATTAAGAAAAGGTTTCTTTTTTTTTACTTAGTGGCATTGAAACTTAATTGGATATACAACTGTTAGTAAATTATTTCTAATAAAAAAAAATTTTTAAAGTAATTATAATAACTAACTATCTTGTGATGAGATAACTATAATTACAATAAATTCGGAGAACTTTTTTTAAAATTCTAGAACCAATTAAATAACTTTTGGACCAAAAAATTTTTGTGGTCGCAGATTGAGTTTGGGCGCAGCAAAAGATTATATATATATATACACACATATAAAACATATAAAAAAATAGGGTTAATAATGAGTTTAAAAGAGTTTTTAAGAGGTAACTATATTTCGCTAAGTAAAATAATAAATTTCTTTTAATTCTCTCTTTATTTTTTTTATTTTTTTTTTACTGATCATACTTTACTAGTAATTCTGTCCATTCTGCCTTAAATTAATGTGTAGATTATTATTTTATGATAAAGTCGCATGAAACATGCTTCTGATTCATTATAGTAATTGTTTATTTTAATTTGAAAAAAAATAACATTTGAAAATTATGCGTCTCAGATGATCATAATTTCAGTATGATGGACAAAGGAATTTTACACAAAGAGAACGAATTTAGAATTTTCCGATGCATTGTTTCTGCACATTTTGACTGTAAACAAAGAAATTACGCGTTGGTAATATTAATTATGTTGTTTCGTTCTTTTATTTTTTTTCTTATCTTACTATCGGATGATCCGCATTACTTTAAAAAAAAAAGGTTATCTATCGTAATTAATGTAACACTACCCTTCTGTGCTCTAAAAATATTATTATTTTAATAGGTGTACTTTTACATCATTAACACCATTTAAAAATAAATGGTGAATTAAATATTACAGATAGAATGAAAAGATGAAACGGAGCCAATAAATTGAATGTCTATAATGGAAATAATTGTTTGATCAGATGTATCAATATTATGATGCTACAAATAGAAAAAATCGCCATTTTGTTTTTAAACACGAATCTTAATCATTACGCTATACTCGTAATTTTAAAATTTTAAAGTTTATATTTGAATCCTTCTTGTTTTCTACTTATAGCCACAAAGTACCGAAATTAATTAGATTTTTTTTTTTTTTGNTTTTTTTTTTTTTTTTTGACCATTGTTTAATGTGTCATTAAAATATTTATTATATTTATTCGTGTTTAATTTATGAGCATAACAATAATAACCACTCATAATATCCCTTTTCTGCTTCTAATTAAACTGGATTTTACGTTCGAAAAATATTGTCCTGTGATCAAACGATCGCGAAGACGTAAATGATGGATGATTTTTTTTTTCATAAAACCTAAACATTTAATGATTTCCATTGTACAATGCAACAAATCTAATAAAATTAGGTATTATTTGCTTTAATAAAACGTATTAATGTCTTGGCAGTATCTTTAAAGATCATCTTTAACCATCCAATCAAACCCATAACTCGCTATTCAGACAATGTCACAAAATTATCATAATTAAAAATTAAGCATTATTTTATTAATTGTAAATTTGGCAAGTTAAAATACATTTCATCATACTATATTATACTGTATCTTTAATATAATTATTACGTTTCAAAATCAAATACAAGTAACACGTCGTAAATTATCTTTCTGAAGATTTATGAAACAGATATCAATATCGTTATTTAGATGAATTCATTTTAACAATCATGTGATAATTGCGTCGAACACAGTCACGCAAAAAAGCAGCATTAATCATTCAAAACCTTTAAACCTTTCTTAGGGCTCGAAGTAATTTTTTTAAAAAGGTGAATATGAGAATCTGTCTTTATTAATAGGTCAGAACAAAGAAAATACAAAATTATATTTCTAACTAATTACCTGTTTAATTTAATAACGCGGGCGATCCTCTACCAAAATTTAATAGATGTACAAATAAATCTAAAACCAGAACCTTTCTTTCTGGCGTACATAAGTCCATTTACTGGTTAGTACTAGGTACGTAACAAGTAGTAATCTTGTCTTTCCCAAAAAAAAACTCAATAAATTTATAGAGCCTGTAAAAAAAAAAAAAAAATACACATGGGTAGTAAATAATTAGAAATGATCTGTAACTCCCGTGACCCAAAAGATTTTATTATGCCCGTTATTCGCGTTTAGGGATAAGAAAATTTGACCTTTATTTTAAAGCACCTATCTTATAAAAAAAAATTATTAAACCACTTACAATCATTTTTTTTTTTTTTTTTTTTACGAAAGTTTGGTAAGAAATCTACATTTAATTAAATATATTTATTTTTTAAATATTATGTACAAAAAGCCCGGCTAGCTCAATCGGTAGAGCGTGAGACTCTTACGACTTCATCGTAATCTCAAGGTTGGGGGTTCGACCCCCCCGTTGGGCGTTCAAAGATCTAGAAATTTTTTTTTTTTTTGCTCCAAAAATAAATATACTACTAGCATCTATTTTAATTACGTAATAATAAGAAATGTGTGCAACTGTTGAATGATGATCAATTTTGGGTGGCATGAAAGGGAATACATCATATGTTGGAATTACTTATAAATAGAATCGTGAGTGCAAGTTGATTGAATGAACTTTATTCGTCATTTTTTTATCTTGTAAAAAAAACACCTTTTGAATGATCGCACAAAAAAAAAAAAAAAAAAATTTGGAGTTAGGCCTGTCATTAAGAAATTAATTAGATATCAAGTATAAGAGAATTTCAAATTACCTCGTTAATATTGATATCGAAAAGAAATTGTTGAAAAGTAGCCAATTAACTTAGTACCCTTTATAAAGTTTATGGTAATGTAAATCAATTCCTCTTCTTGATAAAGATATAACTTTAATACATATAATTTTAGTATATTACAAAATATAAGAAAAAAAAATAAACTATTACAGTAAGCTGTAATAATATTTTTTTTTGTTACAGTAAATATATAAATATTCTAAATATTTTGCATAAAAAATATTGTTATGTGTTCGTCTAATCACAAAACAAAATATTTAAGCAAAAAAAAAAAGTCCAAAAGAATAAGATATAAATAAAATAGAAAATAGAAAATATATTATTATACAAAAAATACAATGTTTGTCTAGAGACAACGATGAGTTTAAACCCTAAATCCTTTTATAACCGTAACGGGTGATAATGCCTGTTTTGGTACAATTTCTTCAGTATTTATATCATGCTGATCTTCAGACATTACAGCGATTACACCATCACTACCACGATGTGTCCTTCTGAATTTTTTCTCTCTTTGTTTAGCATCTTCCGCATTACCATCTTCTGTTGAATTGCTATCTGATATTCCATTTAATTCATCATGTTGCTGTGCTTCTACCAATTTATCAAGATCTTCAAGCGCTTCTGAAGTGAAATTCACATTGAACAATTCGCTAATAAGTCTTCGTGAAGGTAAACGATAATGATATGTTGATAACATTTGAATCACTTTATAATATGTACTCAGATTAGTAAATACTTCCGGATGCTGTGATCTTATTCTAAATCAAATGTAAGTATTATGATGAAATTATTAATCCAATTATATTGAAAATATCAATAAATATTTACAACTTACTTTGAAAGATTTCGTGAACCAGTACTTGATAATATTCGATTTGTTAGATTTGCCATTGCTTTTAATAAACTTCTTTCAACTTGTGTGCTTGGTACTATGGGTTTTGATGGTATATCAAGAGCTGACTCAAAACCTGTGTACGTCCATCGAGGAAACTAGCGATTATAAGAGTAAAATACATTATCATATTTCTAAATTCTAATATTGTGTGAAAAAAAAAAGCTTTATACTTACGGATAAAAATGCCTGAGAATCTACAGGTATACATAAACCAGTACCTATTCCTGTGTAAGTGTCATATACACATTCCCATCCAAGTTCTTCCAACATTTCAATACCTGATGCAGTTTTTGCTATTAAACCTAAACCAAAATAACACGTTCTTATAAAGGATATAAATAGATAATTATAAATTAATAAAGAAAGAAGAATTTAATGAAAATTATAACTTTGGTATAATTAGAATTTTACCCTTTCAAAGATAAGACTGCGGATTGTTCTGCAATGTGCACTATATCCTTAATTATATCTTCTTCCTCTAAAAATTGTAATCCACTCTTTGATGACCCAATATTTCCCTAGAATTAAAGAAGGTAAAATTAAATATTAAGCCAAATAAAGTTCGATGATATAATTCTACTTACTATGGCCCAAAGAATCGACTTTAATTTTGCTATAGAAGCTTTGTCGCGAGATTCTGATTTGTGCTCTCTCACAAAATTTGCGAACTCACGAAAATGTCCTTTTTCTCTTAATAATTGACAACCTTCGTTTGTTTTCGCAAGTTCACCATAAAAATGAGGAGGCGATATTCCATCAAAAGGCCTATTTAATATTCATGAGTAAGTATATACTTATACATCTTATACATTAATTCTTTAAAAATTATATTCTTACATTTTGTCATCATCTTCGAAACGGTTATCATCGCCATCAAGTCTTAAAGTTTTAGCCAACATAACTTCTAATTGAGTGACATAATATTGATTCCGGCTCTATAAATATAAAGGAAAAAAGGTTTGGTTATTAGTAAATTAAAATTAGCATTATTATAAAATATGAATTTACCTGGAACCAATCGTCCATTTCTTTTTCAACGTAATCGAATTCAGAAAGGTATTTGAATCCTATTGAAGTAGACAAGAATCTTAACAACAAAGGATTTCCGACTTCTCCCAAATGATCCAGGCTCGGTCGAAGCATAACTAACGATTCAATATTTTCTTTGTGATTGCATGTTTCTTCAAGAACACGAACTGCCATTTGACACACTTCCATAGCAGGATCATATAACTAAACGTGTTAAAGAATAAATTTTTTTTTATTACAAATAATACTAATATTGTCAATTCAGGAAAATTATTACAAACCTGAGTTATAAGCAACTGTATTCCCCATTCGTTGAATTTTTTCGATGATGTCCGTAAAATCTGACCCAAATGCTTTGTCGCGTATAACCTTACACGCTATATAAAGAATTTAATTTTTGACGAGATAATACAATAATAATATAATAAGAAGTCCATATATCAATCACCTTATAACCTGATGTCATCACTTTGGAAAGAAGAATACGTGGATGACCATCTCTAAATCAAATAAAGATTATTAATTAATTATCATAAGAAAATTATTATCATTTTCTTTTTTTTTTTTAGAAAATACTTTTCGGAACAACATACAGACTATAATCCAAATTCGTAATAATAGCTTTAATTAAATCTTCACGACTTCTTAGTTCAGTTAAACGATAAAATGTATTGAAGATTTTGAACTTTTCCAATAATCTTTTAATAAATATATAAATAATAATTCTTAATTAGCAAAATAAATCATTGGGTATATAAATAAGTTTGTAAGAGACTAACCTAATGCCTTCTTTATACTTGCTAAAATTCCCTAAGATAGTGAAATATCCAGATGTAAGTGTGCTATTTATTCGATCTTTAGAAAACAGTGGCTCAGATTCAGGAGTTCCATTAATCTTGGTAAAATAATTCATTATTAATAATATATCAATATATAAAATCTTTCAGTTATAATGGAAATTACATACGGGATCAAGTTGGTTTAGATACTCTGCTATCTGTCTCAAGAACTTATTGCCTTCCAAATATTTTATACCATCAGAACATGCTAACAATGTGGATATAAGAGTACATCCCAACTGTACAAAATGTTCGTTTTCCTATTACAAAATCAACTTAAAATGTTATTTTCTTAATTATTATTTCAATTGAAAGAAAAAACATTTCCATCAAAAATAATTACAGGCGTTTTTTCAATTTCAGAGAACCTTCGACTAGTTGGTCGGAAAAATCCGATGAGACGTTTTATGAACTTAGATTTAATCGATTCTTCTAATCTTCGTGGATTAAGTAGTGGACCTTGTAATAGTTCCATCATAGTTTCAAAGTTCCACTTTGTACCGTCTTTTGTTTGTAGAACCTATAATAAAAATTCTTGAGTTAGATTAATAGATTAAATATTCGCATCTAAATTTTAGATAATTCCATAACAAACCTGTGACTCCAAAAGCATATTCGTAAAATGTCTATCATCGATTTGCATACCCATCTTAATCTTTACACTTTCAACCTGTCGGGCATTACGTCTTGGTACATCAATAGAAGTTGAATCATTATCTGTATTATTGACTTGTAATCGATTTCGAGTTCTATTTAAATTATCGATATGTGAAAGAGCTGCAGTCGCACTATGTCGTACAATCTCATCATCAAATTTTGTAGCTAGACTAAAAAGTCTCGGTAGAGACTGAATTTTAACTAATTTTAATAAATTTAAGAATATGAATTTCATAGCTTTGTAAATATAAAAACTGCTTACTTGAATTCGTATAGAACGAGAAACTGATAATAATCGATTAGATAATTGTAGAATTTCTCCAATGAAAAGTGTAGCTTTTCGAGCAACATGTTGATTCTTATCCTCAATGATTTCAACAAGTGCCTAAAATTTATTTAAAACATTATTTAAAACATAAAATTTTTCTTAAAAATTAATTTCAATAAAATTATTACATACATCAAGAAGTCCAGAGCCCATAAATATATCCAGTAAGATAACTAAATGATGATCTAACAAATTTAATCTGTCATTATCACTTGTAGATAAAGGTGGCGGATCACCACTATTGTTATCTTTTTGTTCAGGATTACCATATACTGTAACATTAATTATTATTTAAGATTTCCAAAAAAAAAAAAATAATAATAATACTTTAAATAAATTATTTTGAAAAAAAAAACAGAATCAACTGCAATGAATATTTTACCGGTTATTCTTTTTCCAGATAAAAAACTAGGATACCACTTTGGAATCTTTATCCTGAAAATGTTGAAAAACATATCAAGCATGATTTCCTATGGATTATAAAAAATTTCTAATCGGATAAGAGATCTTGGTCATAAATCGTTCGATATTTTAACAGATAATAATAATAAATTGTTTTCATATAAACCCTACACCTACTGACCCTCGTTTCATCCGAAGTTATCCTGAGTGATTCCACAATAGATTTTATTGCTTGCTTATTATCTCTACAAAGAAATATGATCCCCGTCCATGATTTTAATAGTACAGAGATTGCTCTAGAACTTGCTTTAATATGCTGGTCGGATTTAGTTCCTTTATTACAAGCATCCGTGAATCCAGAAAGCACAATCTGATGATGATCATTATTAAATTTATTAGTGTAAATGACTTTGATAAAATTGTAACTAAATAATAAATTATTTTTCCTTCATCAAAGTTTATACCAAACCTCCAAATCAACTCCAGGTCTAATGCACTC